TTCCCCACCATCCTATATAAATATATTTACTTATATACATGCCTATAAATTCAGTTATGTTTTCAGTGAATACAGAAACACCGAAGCCTAAGATTCTTGACCTCTCTTTCCTAGACCTAATCTAATAGCCAGCTGGTTTATAATACTTTTCGAACTCAGTCCACCATTTCTTTGTGTGATGGATAACACCACTTCAAAGTGTGGGCAAATCAAGTTAATTACAGAAGACCACCATTTTCCTGATGAGATTAAGAAGATAAGAGGTTTGGCAAACTTCCAAATCAAGAAGACACGTTGTGCTTTAATACCTTTTAAATTTTGAGGGGATTTTTTTCTTCTCACCCTTTCTTCCTTTACTGCTGGCATAAGCACAATGGTTAGTGGTTATAATACCTGAAAGGAAAAGGGCATTTCATAGGGGAAGCCCCTTAAGCTAATATTACAAATTCTTAATCTTTTTCCTATTGAAAATTATCATTTACTAAAGCCTGAAACCCTTCTATAAGGCTAAAGCGTCAATAATTCTGAGCATATGGGAGGAACCTTGAAACAGAATTCTTATTGAAGCTCTACAGCACAGGGGAGTCTGTGAATAATGTAATAAATAAGATTCATTTTTCCAAAGTTCAGGACGTAAGAGTTTGCTAAAAGAGCCCATCTCTCTCAAAACTGAAGCAAGATGGTCTCCAAAGTCTAGGGAACAAGTAACGCAAATTCTGTCTTAATTTAACTCAGATTCTTATGGGCCTTCTGATCTATTTTTCCTAGTTCTCCATTTAGCCAAGTTTCCTTCTTGAAGAAACAGTTGCCATCAGCATCATGGTCTTTAAACAGTATTTACTTTGCTCTTACTTTTATAACTCAGCTTGTCTTTCTGGGAATGTTCTCAGGAGCTTAATATCTTATTGGGAGTCAAACATAAGAAAAGAACATATAGAAAATTTCACAAATTAAATCAATTTCTATTTTTATCGTTAGTGAAACATTGGTAATATTTGTTATGGACTTCACCGAACATAATCCTAAGGATGATTGGATATGCAATCTTTCAGTTTACAACAATGGGCCACTATGGACTTTCTAAGTCAGGATAGCAGCCAGAACCCTGGAGACCTCAGAAACGCTAAGCTCTCAGAAACACTGCGGACTCTTTTCCATGGAAAACAGAGGCAGCAAAAAGACGTCTCCCTTAACTGTCTTTTCTCTGCACAGTATCCAACCAATTTAAATTAAGACCAAAAATACAATACTCAGAACTAGCTTATTCATGTACACAATTACCTGCAGTAGTGTTTGCAGAAGAATGATGGCCAAGACTTGACTAAGTTCCATTTAATAAAAAAATCAATTAAAGCAAGCACCTTAAAACTATTGTTATATATCTGGGTGGTCCTTGTGATCAATATTCTTTATGAGGTCTTGTGACTGATTTCAAAGTTTCAGTGTACAATTCCATATGTACTATACTTTTTTTGAATTCTTTCAAGAAAAGAATCTTTTATTAAAAAAGAGTGATCATAAGGAGGGCTTTTGTATCCTAGGACTAGCAGGGAAATCAGAGCAAGTTGAGAAAATATTTATGTCTTATTTTGAAACTTGGCGTGCTGAGTTTTTCAACAACAGAAACTGTTACTGAACACTTGAATAGCTAATATATATAGATAAGGAAATATTGTATCATCATCCATCCATTCCCTTGCTGGATCTTTTAGGCTTTCATAGTGAGTATAATTAGATAAGAATAAACATGAATGAATATATAGTATCTAATAAAGCCAAATGATTTTGTTTTATTGAATACATATAATTAGATTTTATTGTCGCAAAAATTGAGTTTTCTTTTTCTTTGGACTTACCTTTGAAATGTTGACAGTTGTACTAAATCATTTCCGTCTTGCCATCAAGAAACTGGATTTCTTACTTTGCTCCATTGTATTAGATGTGCTATTAGCCTCAGAATTTTAAGTCTGAAATAAATTTCCTATGTGGCCACTACTTTTTTCTAATTGTTTATTTTTATAATGAAAATTTCGAAACTTT